CGTTCAAATTAGCCACCTCTATTAAATTGGTGAATCTCAAGTTCAATAATGGCATGACAAGGCCTCTGGTGGCTGCCTTGGCCTTGGTTTCGTATGCTTAACATAAGTTAAGCGTTATAACGATTGCATGCATTATACAAAGATTGCGTTTATGAAGATGATATGCTCTCAATCTGTGCTTAAAGAACACGGAAATTCTGCAGACATTTCTCAATACGTTTCCAGTTTTACAGCCTGTTGCATTGCTCCAGACTGCTGGCTTCCAACACGAACTGCGTGTATGCTCGTCTTTGAACATAAGCCGTCACGTGCCCCCAAGTTTAGTAGACAAACACGTTACTATTACAGTATTATGAAGAGACACTTCAACTTTTCAATGTAAGGAACATTTTAAAGCGTCACTGTTTCGACGATTGTTCATTAATCTACGCTATGCATTTAAAAGAAACGTCCGAGAACGTTTACCGTTTTGATATATTCACTTTACCATCAAATAAACTATGTTGATATTAAATGGATTCTACTCTCCATCTAGATTCGTACTATGATATTATCGAACGCTGCCAACCGAGACAATGTATAATGTCGTTCTTCGTTGGTATGCAACGAGCACTTGTGTCGCATTACAATGCAGATCCAATAGTTTTGCAGAAGTTAAATTAATCATAAACAGTAACAAGTATTACCAGCTCACTATGATTAGTGGTAATTATCAGAGGAGCGACGCATTTATCTAAGTATACACAGATTCAGGTTTTTTCTAACTGCTTCATTTTATGCTGCAGCAAATAAAGAGTTCATTAGAGATTTCATTTCACCACATAATTGCCACAATTCTTGGCTTATAGCAAAACAATTCGCCGCTGTTTGCGGCAGTTTGCGTACCTTTCAAATGAACGGGGGCTTTCGCATGTACGCTATCATTGTTTTGTCGCTGTGTTTTGTGACATACTGTATTCTTTTTTTTTTTTAATTGAAATTGAAATGCTTTGATTTCCGCACAGTATAATGTTGATGGAAGAAACACGGATGAAAATTTGGATGGCGACTGGCTCGTCTGCAGCGATTCGGAACGGTACAGGACGCTCGCTTGAATGTTTTAGCGCTTGAAATGAATGTTTTAGCGAAATGTTTATTAAACCAAACTTAAGCGAAACGCCATTATATAGTTTCGAAGTATAATGCCTAAATGCGTTGAACAATATTGTAGATTACGGAATTCGGATTTAATTCCTATGGATCTCTTCGAGTTTTGGTTAATGCTGCGCTTAGCATAAAGACATATGAAAACAACGATCATTGTAATGAAGTTGTTCTCAGGGGCGTTCGTATATTAGCTTTCTCACGGCACTGATCAACATATCATTGTCGAAGCCTAAAAGGGCAGCTTTTTGCCGCTTTCTTCCGCCCTCTGTGCAGAAGTTGACATTGCAATACACGTTTGCAACGTTTGGATCTTCATTCACTGAGGTTTATGCGTGGTTGATGCGTTGCGATCCGTATCTATCGATGATGCGATTTAAGGACGCCGAGCGATCTTCCTTTTGTTCGAACAGTGCTTTCTGTTTGATTGGTGCATTTCGTTCTGAGCGACATTCGGGAAATACTATCCTATATGTGGCCCTCGTTGCCTAATAGATACGAGCGACTTAGAAGTAAGGGAGCAGGTTCTTTGTGTATTTGCAAAGTTGCAAAAAAATCGAAGACGTCTAAAAGTAATCATTACGAATTGGTTTACAATTTCCCGGAAAAAGACGAAAAAAAAGATGGAGATTTGCCTCTGAAGACGATCTGCGTGCGTGTCTGTGGTGTCTAAGTCACACATGTGCTCGTCAATTTGCTTGTCGGGGGGCGGAAAACCAGTTTCGTAGGAATATTTCAAAGTATACTTCCAATTATATTTTTGCGAAAACGTGCAAAACGTCTAAACTCATCCCAGGGTGCCAAGAAGTGAGATCCCCATACAGTGAAAATAGCCAGTGTCGAAGTAATCTTGTAGGCATGCATGAACATTCAGGTACGGGAACTGTTGTACAAAAGAAACGATTCCTGAGCGCTTAAATCAAAGTCGATATAATTTCATAAGGAATATCATTTTACGATGTGCACTGTCATTACATGTACTAGTTGTGGTCCGTTTGTTTTTTATGTCCATCCGTATGTAGCATCCGGTGCTTAAGCTACGGCTAGTTATGTTGTAAATATAAAGATTTTGAATAGTCGATGGTATCTGCAGTTTAAAGAATACAGAGTCACTGCCAATTGCTATTGACTAGGCAAACATGGCGGTTAAGCATAATGGAAATTTTTAAAAGATGAATCGTGTTCCCGCAAACGATTGCACTTAAATCTACAGCGATCACTATTATTAGACAAACTCAGGCAGCGTTTTTTTTTTTTAATAAACTTTCCATTCTTAGTCCGTTTTTGAATTCGCAAAACACTGCAAGCTGGCTAGAGGGATCGGAGATAGCAGACCATTGCGACAAAAGTGTAGTTTACCTAATAGCAGCAACAAAAAATGCTTCTATTTGTGTTCCCTTTAGTTAAAGATCGCACTTGCTTATTGCCAGACAAAGATTCCTCGTACTAAAATAAGCCAAAGCAAATGAACAGTTCATTAAGGCATTTCCGCAGCGCTCGCTGCCATACTGCAGTATCCCCATACTTGAAGTAACGGTACTATTGAGATCTATCCATACTTCAAAAACGTGTGGTATTTCGGGAATTTTAAAGAATTCATCGGTTCCCACCTAATACTAAGAGTCGCGAATTGAATCTGATTCAGACGGAAAAGCGAATTATATTAATCGACTAATTGATAGTTTTTTTTAATCGTCTCTCTCTTTTTTGATACTGCTAGTGCAAGAGATGAACAGCGATCGAATTCAGCATTTGTCAGCACTTGGTCTATAATGAACTTGAAATATTCAAGTTCATTATAGAATTATTCAGCATTACTAAGTATTAGTCGCATACATTTTGTTAGCATTTTCAACCGATACAGAATGCGATAGTACAGATTGAATGCTGTTTACATGCATATGGTGATCATCTCAATAGCCCAGAGGAGCTCGGTAGGCTGATAATCGACGCTAATCATAAATAGGTCGTCGTGCAAGTTCGCACAGGTGTATATACCTTTCGAAACAAGCAAATGTCATATATAAATATATATATGACAACAGCCTCTCACAACCAATATCTGCTTGACATGTTAATAACATTGTGGTCCTCCCTAAGTGTACATAGTGAATATATAGATGCTAATTGAAATTCAGATTTCACTGAGTTACATACATAAAAAGTACATGGTTGAAACTCAGTGAGGTCTGAACTTCAATTAACATGTCAATATATCCACTATATGCACCTAGGGACGACGACAGAGTCAAGCATATATTGGTCGTACTGAACACCAATGCTGTTTCCTGTTGTTTTAAGAAATGTTGTTTTAAGTTGATGAAACATTTTGTAAGCAATACAGAATCAAAATAATAAAAAATTTGGTCTGCTCGGCAGGGAAGTTTATCAAAAAAGTAGTGTTAATATTAATATAACCATTGTTTAAATCAAGGGATAGAAGTACCCAATGTGGTATCAAGACATATCAGTTTGATTGAATTATTGCAGCACTTCACAAACGAAGAGCGGCTGTGTTTATGTAAAGCTGATTTTGCGATCGTCGGCACCAGTAGCGCTGAGCGTAATCTAATTTCATGTGATAATTCCAGACTTTTCTCTCACGGAGAATATTGATATATTTTTAGTATAGTAGTTTTAAAATATAACAAAATGAAGCGAACAGTTTTTCGTTGAAGCAGTAGAGCTAGTGTGTCAAACTATCATGTCACTGACATTGTTTCTTTATCATTCTTTGGATCTAATCGTGTAAAATTATTCAAGATCGGCTTGATTTTGTCATATCGACAAATTGTCAACTGGATGTATCGAATTGGGTCACATTTGACGAAATCTATTCAGTTATTTACGCATACGGTCTTTTCTTGTCTCTGGCATTCCCCCAGACAAGAATTCGTTTGAGCTCCATCTGTTCAGGTCAAACAACCACGGTCAAGCAGAAGCTAGCACCTCGGTGCGTAGATAAGGAACGAAAGGAACTACTTCCGTCTCGCGCCACTGGTCAAGGCGTCTAATTTGAAGGCGTCAGGACGTTTGTTATGTGTTTGTGACTGTCCTAACAGTAATCAACACAGAGTTTGCTGTGTTACTAGCTGCTTCAGTAAATGAAGGTACATGAAGCTATTGACTCCAAGACGATTATGAGAAAATTGACTCAGCCACACACAGCTGAGTCCTAGGCAATTGTTAACCAAGGAGTAAGGGAGCGGTTCTACTAATAAAGAGAAGTGTCTTCGTAATAGTCTCAAGGAATGTAAACGACAAATAACAAGCAAATATTCTTTATTAGACACTACGGGGCAAAGTGGAGCTGTTTTAACAAAGAAGTAAGGTGTGTCATCTCAATGCACTCCCTTATACGTTTCATAAATAAATACAAATAGTGCATTTAAATTCTGGCTTCTGAGATAACTGGCGATTAGCAGCAGTTCTGTAAGCGGAACTGACTAGAGGACTCCAAAAAGCTAAATATAGTAATATAGCTTTTTCTATAGATATTTCGCACTATGTTCGTCGTCCCGTCTCACAATTGCCGTTTGCCACCAATCATAAAGCTACCTCGCATCTCAAGACGCTATACTCCGCCAAGTGGCAGGTGACGCATGTGACTAGAGGTGAACTTTTGAAACTTTCCGATAAGTAGTAAAACTATAGGTGTTCAATGGGTGAAAACTAAAGTAACTTGATAAGCTATGTATCTTTAAATGTCAAGTTGCTTTAACTTGAAACTTTCGGGAGTGGCGTGTTCGTTGTACCCGCATAATAAGATTACTTGAAGTCGCAATGCTTATAAGGCGTAGTTTCGAATTTTATAATCACATAAATAACGTGCTTCTTACGTGCGATGTTGTTTTCAGCTGCTTCCTCATGGACGGCCATCAATCCCGTATGGGAGGTGAAAAAGCTCTCCCATGACACCCCCCTGAACTACCCCTATTCATTATTGTTTCCTTTCATAGATTTTTCATTATCTGCTAGCCCCCCTAATCCAACTGGTGAGATGTTTTCTAAAGGCATCCTCGTTTTCAACGCATTTGGGCAAACCTTTCGTTTACTGCTTCATGAAACAGAGCACTTAATCCACGATGACTTCACGACGCACCACCACGAACCTCATAAAAATGACACAATCCCCAATTCCAGTCACCTACAGGAAATCCTACCTCCGGAAACACGACATCAGATCATCGAGCACAAAATAGGAAAACAGGTTTGTACATGAATTTCGTTATTTTTGCAAAACTGAGCTAGTTTTGTGTGATATTAAAAGACTGATTGTGTTTCTGAAAGACTGAAACAGATAAGACTAAACTAAACCTGGTCTTCTCCTTATTTAACTATTAGCTATTATATGCTCATAGCAGCAAACCTAAATATTTGAATAAGCGTATAATTTTTCAAGCATTCTACGATGATGTAAATTTATAAAGGTTCTGTTTTTATTGAAAAAAGGCGGTGATGTCTTCACACTACTATTCTGGCTATTGGACATAGGGTTGATTACGTACTGTGTTTTTTGGTTGCTAACATATATATAAACAAAGGTCTGAAAGAGACTTTTTTCTCGGATCTTCTTTTTGGTCCTAAGTGCCATTTGCTATACTAGTGAGTTATTTTTCTTTCATCCTAGATATGCCTTAGATCGTTTGGAAAAACGTCTCAATCGTTAGAACCTTGCTTTTCCACTTATCCGTTGAGCTCTCGTCCACAGAGTTGGCGGTTATTATAATCAGTTAAAATCATGGCAAACTTATTCTTCCAATCGGTCGCGAAACTTGATGCTATTACGAAGTGCATATATAACTATATAGATTCTCAGGTGTCTACTTACATTTATTTTGGAATCATCATTCTGTAATACTTACTGCTCCCCATAGGAGATTGATGTTATATTATGCGTCAAACGCTTTAAACAGTCCACAAGTAACGTTTATACGGTGCTGTCGAGTGAGTTTTAACCTTTAAGGAAGGATATTCGATCAAAGGGAGGCCTGAACTGGTTTGTCTGAGCTATCGTTCTCGCTCCCATGCAATAATCCCTTGAATTAAACATGCTAAAAACATGTTTTGACAAAAGAATTATAATTCAGAGTGTCCATTTTGGGTGTAAGGTTGTTCCCTCTTCATAGGAAGCTACTCAATAAACATCGGTATCTATGCTAGAAATCAATGGGATGGTTGTGACAGACTTTAAAGTTCAGCGACGAAAGTGTTGAGCGAATGAAAATTTATTCCCAGTACAATTGAATCCAATAGGTTCAATGAGCTCTATTCAATTTAGTCCGCCCCTTTGTGCTATTCACGAGTGACTGGTTCCACTTAGAAGCAATAAGAAAGAACTTAGCGTGACATTTGTATTCATATTTCTAGACCACCTTCAAATAGCTTCAACTGCACAAAAATGACGCAAGCCTTTTTTTTTTAGCTTTATGACGGTGCCTATCTGAAAATTCAAATGCCATTTCATCTATATATCATCATGATACACTAGAACACAATATACGATGGGGAACCTGATCTATGTTCCAAAACTAGGGTAAGTCATCATGAACACGTTTGGAATAGGAATTGTTCACTGGCCTTTTAATACCAGCGTCTAATACGCTATTGATTTTTCAACCATTTACAGCGCTAATCCATTTTTGTTTGCCTATGTTATTAGTGATTTTTCTATAGATTAGCTAATCGGCACTGAAAACGTTGTATTCAGTTCAATGATATTGTGTGCTAGTGTCATAATGTCATAGAACGGGAGCTTTCGATAACTACTGAACAACTGGCAAAAATCTATCCATTTTATGCACTTGGTGTTTTATTTACGACATCGAAGGTTTTCAATCCTGCGTTTGCCGCACGGGGTATTCATAAAACAAGGGATGACTGCAACGGCAGTTTGAATAATCGCGCCAACTTGAGCTTTTGTTATTTTAAAAGCTTGAAGCGATCGGACGAAGCATAAACAGGAACTGTGCTGTTAATAATAGCTACATTACTAATTCCTGTTTTTGATTATTGATGATGCTGTTGTATTCGCCGTTGGTTATGTCTCGTTCATGCTGGATAAAGCGGCAGTTAATAGCTTCATATCCTTCTAAAGAATGAAAATCTGTTATACTTCCTATCCATCTAAGGTTCGCTGGATTCGAGATGCGAGACGGGTCGTCATATCGTCTGTTCATTTTGGCAGTTTTGTTGTTGTGGTAACTCTGGTGTGGCTTTATTTATGTGGAAGACACCAGCACAGAACTGGGTACGTACAGCTGCAACGGTTAAGCCAATGACAGTAGCGGAATAAACAACAGAAGAGTTGTTAGCGTGCTAGCCTCACCATACCCTCCTCGGTCAACACACTCGGTATAAGGACATCGTCGTCTGATTTATAGTTTCGAATCACCTCAATGGGACCTGTTTTTCCGTTGTCAATTTCTCTCGAAAAATTGTTGCCTGTTTTATGGAAATACAGGAAAAAAAAGAGAACATAGAGCACGAAAAAGTAACTCAAGCCAGGGTGCAACAGTGCAGATTTTGCTTTCCACTTACATGTAATGCATTGTTACAGCAACAGCATTGGTTGCTTTGCTTCTCTAAAACCAGAAATCAAATAAAACTGATACAGGCGCTTTTTATGATTAGGGTCGCCTGATCTATGCCTCGATCAAACTTTAGATGACTCTGCACAGAGGGGCAGGTTGTCAGGCTAAGCTGACCCAGATTTCGCGAGATTTCTTGCATCCTCTGCGAGAACTTTGTCATTTCACGAAAGGGATTCTGCCTAGGATCGCATTGGTATTGTAGCTGCATGACACATAAAGAGCAGTGTAATTTTCTTGGGCGAATAATTGTTTTGATATAAGGATGGTCCGGAAGCTATTTCAGATGCAAATGGCAAAGCGGTCTACGAAGCATCGGCCTTACTAACAATACACGCCAATATGTGAATTAGAACTTCTCTAAGCCTAGTTCGGCGAATTGCAGTTCGACAATGTCTCGAAAATGGGAGGACAGTTGTTTTTCTTTTCTAACTTTATATAATTTTGGATTGTATACTTGTTTTAACGTTCGTTGTAACAGGCTGACCGGTCGTCAGCAAAATACTTGAATCATCACTACAGGTTATTATTGATCTAGCCAAAGGGAGGTCGTCATTCTAGTTAGTCTTTGCAACAAATGTTTGGGCAGTGGCCGAGCACTAGAAACCGTTTAAAGATAGCTAATTGCTTGCTTCAACGAAGTAGTCCATGGAGTGTTCAGATCCAGTTTTGCTCTAAGGAGCTAATCGAATTCAAAGGGACCACTTTACATGTAAACCCCAATGCCAACTGAAGCTATTGCTAATCTCGTTTACGACGAAATCTACGTATGTTCCCTACACATATTGTATTTACGCAAATTTCCCAGGGTATGCTTGTTGTATGTACCGTCATACTCTCTCAAGGGCGTAGAGAATCATTAAATAGAATTGAATAACTCGGCAAACCAGTTTGATTTTACAGCTATGAAGATTTGTACTTTAGTTAGTTGCGTGTAGTTTGACGTAGAAAGGGTGAAATTCAAGATAATGCTGTCTTGGGTATTATGCTCGAGGGTATTTAGGCCACCCTCTCTGTCTGCAGTAGGATGACGTAGCGCATCACGGAGACGGGTTGGCTGATCGCATAACTCATCGGGTTCATGTGATAAGCTGCCATGATATATTTGCAGGTATACGGAGCGTATCTGAGACGGGTATGAGGACATTCTAAGAGAAGCGTATTGACTACTAAGCCATGAGGACAGCCAGGTTCAAGTTACGAGGACAGGCCCTCTTCGATTCCCAAAGGGATAAATCATGGCGTATAGTCCTAACATAAGTCGGGGCCAATGAAATACCTTACAGGAATGTTTAGCGATTATTGACCACTGATTATATCTGTTTGTTGGCGTTAAGAACAGTGTGACGTGTACACGTTGGGCTGGACATACAGCCTGCCAGTAGTGGCGCCTTTGATCGATTTTGGAAGGAAACCGTAAAGGAAACTATAGTTGTGCTGATTCAATTGTAGATATAATCCTTCAAGCACCGGCGACGGTGGTGTTCGGGTAACTCTTACAGCGGTTTGTTGTTCACTTAGTGAATTTTGCCAAACCTGATGAATTGATTAGATTTCATAGATCAAGCTCAGGTAGCTAACTGAAAACGTAAAAAACCAAGTGCAATGCATTAAAGGATGCCAGTGTGTGCTATCGTGTTGTAAGTAGTCCTCTTTTACAATACAAGAAGTGATTTTATTAAATCATTATTTGAATTTGATATTCAAATGACGCAGAATTTTGTTACTTTCAAGAGCATAGACTTCGATAACCCCCTTAAGAAGTTTTTCGGCGTGGGATCCAAATTCTGCGATATTGGTTAGACGTACTTAACGTAATTTAATACACGTAGCAGAAAGTGCTCTCATTGCATTAATTACGTATTGTCAAGTAGAGTATCACTATTCACTGCTGAAATATGTAGGAATAATCTTTCTAGAAATAAGTAGGTTTTCTCTATCCCGTAAGGGTAGCTTCTCAATTGCTGAGACGACAGCCTTTAATTGTTTATACGAAGATGATCAAGTCTGTCGTGGGCCCGCTGAAGAACACTTTAAAAAGCCCTTTTATATCCAAGGTACACGAAGCCATTTAAACGTGTTGTCTCAACATTGCTTTAAGTGTAATAAAAAAACTTACAGAGCGAGCTCGAGTGATAGGATAGCGGCAAGTTCGCACGTAAGTGATGCAATAGACACCAAAGGCACCTGTTACTATGAAATACTCGCTAAAAACAAACAGTGAATGCGGATTGTGATCTCGAATTTTTCGAACGACTCATGAATCGCTGGTACGGCGGTCGAAAGAACATCGTGTGCTTACCTGATGACATTGTTAGACTCCATGTTTGTACCTCAATTACTTTAACTTGGATTGAGCAAAACAACATGTAACGTTGGCTTCAACCCGCGATCACAGGGCTTTGTCATCCATGCTCTAAAAAAGACGACTGGTGGACAAACAAATCTCACTATCGATATCCTTCGCGAAATTACATATAAGAACGCCAGAATTCCCAAAAGCCATAACGTTAGAATAAGCGTGTAAAAAATAGATACAAGTACTTCTAACACATACGACAAAATCGTTCTTATAGCCATTCAGTTTCAGGGTCTGCCAGATTCGCTGATAACGGCCTAA